TCGACGGTCTGAGTTCAAAACTTTGCGCATACGAGTCACATTATCGGTGTTTGTCGAAGGTCTTCCAGCACCGTCTTCATCAGCGACCTCTTCCCGGCCCTCCAAAAAGGCCTGGTGCCACCAAAACACACCACTTCTTGCTAAAGCAACACCTGGGTAAGCCTGCTTGATCATATCAAACGTCTCTGTCGCAGATTTACCGACTTTCACAAAGAATTTAATCGCGTACCTCTGCTCTAACGAACGCTGCATTTTCGGCTTGCACCACTCACAGAAACACGTCGCGCGAAAATGCCTGTGCTGACTCTCCAAGTGCTCGGAGACAACTGACCAGCCGCTCATTCGTTAGCTAGAAACGCCCTCTACCGAATCCAGTCGGTGCGCGCTCGCTCCGAAGTACAGACATGGCGGAAGAAAATGAATCCTATTACTTTACGGACAAACCCTGTAGATGTTTTCCCGACGAAATTCCTAATACATAGTTTTGTAAGCAGACGTCAAAGGGCTTTTGTTAATGTTTTTCTTTTTAGGATGGCTAATCCAAATATGAAGCAAGAAATAAAGCAATGCAATTAAATGGCGATTTCTTAAGGACCAATGTCTTAAGTAATAAGCTTAGGGAATGGCTACTCAATACTCCAAAATCAAAAATCAATCAGTTATTGGATATAAAAAGTAGAATATATCATTTCACAATTAATGAACTTACCAGTACACATTTCTAGACATACATTTGTAAACTAATTTTGAAATATTTTCATATTGTTATTTTATTGTTAGGCAAAGAACAAGGTCTTGCTTTTGCGGGTGTTACCGTTAATTTGCTACTTATTTCATTATTACTTTCTACAAATAAACATTATTATTTTGAAAAAGCAATTTCGATGCGGGACCTTCTTGCATCGTGCGTGTATGAACAGTTTCCTCCAAACAGTCTACACTGTTGGGTGGTGCTGAATAAGTGCATTATAGTACTTTCAATTTTTGAGACAGTAAACTTGGCAGAATATCCAGAAACCAATACATCTGGATCTTTATAAGCTTTTTCTCCTGATGGAACAATGAAAGCCGTAATGAGAACACAATGATCACGAACGCAAAAAAGTATGATCAATGTCTTTCTCATTTTTGTCTGCCATTCTTGTCCACTTACTGTGGCTCTATTACTCCAGTTTCATACAATATAATAAAATGCATCAGTCATAGGTGTCTAGTTAAAATAAATAAAACATCATTTTCGGTTTTGCTCTGGAAACTTTACACGATATGACATAAAATGTAATTTCATTTTCCTACAAATGTTCACCCCTCGCCAGACTAGTGCATATCAAGATTCTAGTTATACTCGGTGTTCTGGAAGATCTCGTATAGAAACCTCAGCTACTTCAGTATCCGCTCTAACCGTAATCCACCTGAAATACGCAGTAAAGTGTGGACAATTTTTTTAATAAAACGAAGAACTTGCCATTTTGTCTTCTTTCTTTACGGATATAAAGTAGATCCTAGCTATTCCGAGGGATCCCTGTACACAAATTCATCGCTATCAATCGTCATACAGGTATAAGCATAGATCCAGATCCGGAGATGCATTCCATAGGTGGCGTCTATAATCCTTGTAACAAAACTAAATCCACATCTAATGGTTTTATTTGTAATCCATAAATTAGATGCAGCGGATTGTTTGACGTTGTCGTGTTGGCGTTTCTTATTCAATCAAACAGCGACGCTGACGAGTGGGCACGAAGAAGATTAATTTGTCGTAGTAACTCAAATCTTAATTATATTGTCATCACGGTGAGCTACACTTAAATGCGGAATATCATTAGACACATATAATATGCATACATAACACAGTGTAGTTATTACCAGTAATTGTGCAGCATTGTGCAATATCAGTTGCACCTTGAGTGGTCAATACGTCAAACCATATTTTATGAGAAGCCAAAAGAACTACAGTATATTCAGATAAGAGATAGACCGGACATAAACAAGACCACGTGATCATCGAACGCTGTAACATTCGGTAGGGACGTATTAAGAGTCACGCAGTACATATTTTAGATAGTAGATGCTGCTTTGCGTAACTTTGTAGTAAATTAGCACAATTCGATGTTTATACGATTGGTGATGGATATAGGATCATGTGGGGGTGGGGTAAGAAATATATAATGATGTAAATATACATAAGGGTTTCAAAACTTTCGCTTCGATTTCCAGCTTCGGATGCCGCCTGATGTTTGGTGAAATACAGTCGAATATAATCTCAAAATGGCGTTTAAATTAGCCTAAATTAAAAATAATCGTATATCTCTTAAAATTGCTTTTAGAATATTGATTAGTATATTTTTTGATTTCTAGGTAAATATGTAACCAAATTAAAACGTTCAAAACGTAAAAAATGTGCATGGTTGAACATTGTCAGAAAGTAGATTCTTGAATAGGTTTTGCCAAAATGGGTTCAAAAATGTCAATAATTAATTAAAAAATACAGTAGCTTTATAATTACTTATAACTTACCGAATTTGATGAACGACATCTTTTATTGGAAAGATGAGCTTGATGAGCTTTCATCATCGCTACTGCCTGAAGCACCAACGTCAATAATGAATGGCTCGACTTGTTCCTCTAAAATATTGTCCAGTTCCCACATTCTCTTTTCAACTTTGTCTTTCACGTGCTTAATACAGTTTTCCCATTTTTGCGCTGTTATTAATTCTAGTGCTTCTTTGAAAAGTCCTTTGAGGTCACAAAATTTAAAAGTTGTATTGTGCTTAGCTATATAATTTTTAACCTCGGCCCATATGAGCTCAATGGGATTGAGCTCGCAATGGTATGGAGGTAAACAGAACACAGTTTTATTTTGACTTGCTGCCATTTCGTCAATGGCGTATTTTTGATATTCCGCCTTGTGATCCTTGACAATTCTTAATAATTGTACTTTCAGCATTGCTTCTTCAAAGTTGATATTTTTCGAGCGGAGCCAATTTTGAACATCAACTTTCCTTGAAGCCGTTGTTGGGACCTTCTCCATTCTTCGAGAATGATAAGGCGCATTATCCAACACAATTACTGCGTTTTCCTCTAAGTTCGGTAAAATTTTTGAAAACCACTGTTCAAACGATTCGCCATTCATTTCCTCGTAGTAATCTCCAGTTTTCTTAGACTCAAAGCACCACAGACCGTCAACAACAAATCCATCCTCACTGCCAATATGGCAGATAATGAGCCTTTTCCCTTTACCTGGAAATCGAAGTACTAACTGGTGTAGATTTATTTCAATAAGCGAACCTTTTTCAAATGTTTTCATCACATTCAGCGAAAAAACATTGAGACATGAGTATCAGATTGCTATAATTGGGATTATTTAGTCATATTGAAAGAAAGAATATTGAACGTCGTATGATTACTCAGCGCTTCACAATTTAATTTAAAGTTATAAACCTTTAAAAAATGAATGATCAGGAACCTGAAATACGCGCAAATATTAATATTAACAAATTATAACTTTATAAAGCTTAAAGTATGAATTAAAATGATTAGAAATATTAGGAACGGTACACAATATAAAACTTAGTAACTTTTTTTAAGTTTATAATATTCGACATATTTTAAGATTATATTAAAAAATTATTGAAATATCGAAAACACATAAAAACATGGCTTAAAAAAGTTCTAACAAATGATAATGACAATAAAACATCCACCCCTTTTTGTCGAAATTTAGAAAAGTTTTGTTACTTGTAATATGTTTTATCTGCCCCCTGGAATTAATGTTTAGAACCTTGTTCCCAAGGTTTGAAAAACATCCGATTGTTGTCTATTACTCGTATTTACCTGCTGGATTTTTTAATCCGGTGGACAGTCCATCTAGAAAGGCCCTCCTGGATGAAGTTCAGAATCATCAACCCATACTTTAGTTGTAGTGTGTCCTGCGTTTACCCACGTTTCATCAAGGTAATAAATCTTCCTGTTTTGATTTCTATATTTCCCAATTTTTGTTAAATAATCCCTCCTCCATAGCACAATTTCTTCTCTATCCAGTAGTAAACTATTACGACCCCGTTTTTTCCATTTGAAATTTAAATGCTTCAGTAACGCATGGAAAGTTGATCGTTTGAAATTTGGCAACGTTGTATCTCCATTTACCTCCTGCAGTACTTTATCTATAGTAGGTATTTCATTCCTAAAGAAGAATTCATGCACTTTCCTCCTAATCGCATGCTTATCAGCTTCATCCAATGATTTAACAATACTTTTGCGATGTTTACTGGTCATTGGCTCAGAAAAGGTGTGATTTTTTTGTATTGTCTTAACACATTAAACACTGATGCGCGCACACCCCAACTTTGTGAGAAACCTTCACAACAATTTATTTGATGGTTGATGCCTCGTTCTCCTCGCGCTCGATCTTATATATATTCAAAATGACCTCTTTCATTTCTGCACTCAGGTGTCTTTTTTTAGAGCGTTTCCTAGGTGGACTACAGGAGTTTACAACTTCATCGGCAGTATCTGTACTACTGGGCATTTTGCGCAAGCAGTTGATAAGAATAACAATCAATAACAAGGTATAACAATAATAACGACAAACTCAACAACTTAATAAGATAACAAACGAAAACGTCCAAAGAAATATCAAATTGCAATGATGCACACGACATACGTAACACGTCTGAACCTGAATGTGACTCTGCCTTGATACGGCTGCTCTGCCGCTCGGCATAGGCATTTAATTGCGAATTGACCAATGAGGGCTCCTGTTTTACGTCGAGACGGCGGCGTTAGCGTGAAAATCACCCGAACCTTTTGTTTACATCCGGTCTATCTCTTATCTGAACATACTGTAACCACTATCACTTCATTAAAAGATCCCTGTTCAGATTTATTTAAATCTTCTTGCAGATTCTGTATTTACCTTTTGGTTTTCTCGGACTTCTTTGTATCCAAAAAATACTACTGCTGCTAATCTAGATATTCGAATAAAGTTGACCAACGATTCCATGAATACCTTAGAAGAAATAGGAAACCAAAATAACGTAAAGGTTGCTATGGATCCTAGAATACACCAAAGGTACAAAGAAGTTGAACTAGTGGACGAACTATTACGAGTATGCGGCCAATATCTTACATACATGTATCATTTCACGGTGTAAATAATAAGTAAGCAGAGTATATATAGTACAGCTGGGGCTTGCTCTTGCACACACACATCAATTGGGTGATAGAGAGCTATTGTTTCCACTCATAACGTGACATGACCTTCAAACTAACTAGCGCCAACTAGTTCTACCATTATGGATTGCCTCCCATATCTGTAGTTTCTTTGTGATACGCCAAAAACAGGGAAAAGACCTATAGATCCGAATCCTGTCTGTTGTGTTACTAGAACATAGACATAGATAAAGGAGGGCATGAAGACTAAATAAAAAAAAATATAAAATGACCATAAGTAAGAAAAGGCAGCATTCACAGCTGATATTTACTTGGACACTTTTCCCTTTCGTTATAAATTTTGTGTCTTCCTACTTATCGGTAGCGGTAAAGGGTCTACTGTGTTTTTACTGCTAAGTCTGGAAGGTAGTAGAAGAGGCTACGTCCCAGTTCTGGCATAAGTAGTCATTCACGTCAGTATTTAGATATGATCACAACAAAATATTTGACTAGATTCGTAGCCAGCAAGAAATCTTCCTGGTTACCTCCATAAGCCCTAAGTTACTGCCACGCTCTCTCACTATGGTTACTGCAGTGCAGAATATTACATCTTCCCAAGCCAGTTTCTTGGAAGCCGATTAAATTAAAATTAGGACTATCTACCCCCAAGAATGTTAATGTTAGCAACACGTGTCGGGTATTAAAAAACTGGTCTCCGAGTGGTGAAACTCTGTGACATAATCACTACGGCAAAGGATCCACCATCACATATACTCTTTCACTACGTGTACCATTCGCAGTCGCAGATGTTAGATGGTAGCTTACTGCACTTGTCTCAAAAGTCTGGACATTTGCCATAGTTTGCGCGAACTCTATTGAGATGTGTTCACGTTTTTTTGCAGTTGTTTTTGTGCAATACACATATTAGATTCTGAACTTACGGAGATGATGTTTGCATCAATAGTAGATCAACTGACTGCGTGCCAACCACTTATTATAATATAACCTACACTTATAATAGATATGGTCGTCTTCGGTCTTTTCATGTAGGTGATTCCAATAAAACAGTTAAAACAAGCAGGGACGGCATACTTATACGCGAGACATATCCAAAGCACCCGCATACCCGCGTTAATCGAACCATTAGTAAACGACGTGTCACTTTCTCAGAACAAAAAATTAACAACGCGGTGCGCTATAATTCATCGAGATCAATTTGTAATCGATATAGATTCCTGAAAGGTTTTTGCGGACACGGAATATTCATCTAAGTAAATTAATAACAACTCCATATATGGAGACCGGTTATGTCAGCTTGGAAATAAATTGGTAAAAAGATTGAATATGTTATATGATGGATTTGATAGATATGTGTTGCTGCTGTTTTGTATGCGGCACAGAAACTAAGCTTCAAACAGATATATAAATAATATGTGTCCTCTTTTATAACCTAGTACTTTTATATTTTGCCTGAGTGAAGTTCCATCATTGAGGAGACCGCAAAAGAACAAGTCCTGTTAGTTCATCGGTAATGCATGGGAAATTAGTTTCAACAGATTTGTCCGCTCGTTCAGTCAACCAACAGCTCTCCAAACACGAGAGAAACTCTCCAAGCCAGATCTTATCTGTATTCCGTACTGAGTAATGAGGTTATATGGTGAAAAGCACTTCTTGTAGACAAACCAGCTTCTTTCCAGCACATGCAGCAATATACACACGACTAAGCTATAACATAGAGAATGAAAGCATCTAATCTGTAGCTGTAGGATTAGATAAGTGTACTTAGGTTGTCACAATGAATATCAAAAATCTGTTAGTGTATTATAATCGATTACTAATTCGTATGGAATATTTCCAAAATAGTACGGTTTCCGTAAAGAACATGACGAAATTATTAACAATTTCATTTGTTTCAGGTATATCAAGGATTTTCGCAGAAAGAACAAAATCAACCGACTTATGAGATCTTCACATTTCCGGGATACTATCCCGGAGACATGAAATAATGACGGAACAAGGTAATCTCGCAAAAAGTATCTAAAGTTATTTATTTATGTATCTAGGGCGGTTAAGTGAACGGTTATGGCCTGCAGCGTGAAATGAGGGCCCTAAGTACGACATGGTGTGGGATTTAACATGTTTAGAGATATACATAAATGCTTATTACGCCCGAAATACATACAAAATATCATTATTTATTTCGTCATTTATTCTACAACCGGATACGATAAAAGAATCACAATAGTAAGAGTAAATGACTACTATTCTGTCACAAATGCGCGGTTGCCTAGCAAAGAGTAAATACGGATAGTTTCTGTGGTCGCTGTATTATATATGTAAGTTCAATATACGAGGGCTTCATGATAAGTCAGTGACTTTTTAAATAAAAAAATGTTTTTTGGCAAATAAACATTTTATTTCTCAACATAATCTCCTTTTAGCTCGATACATTTAGTCCAGCGTTTTTCCAATTTCTTAATTCCTTCCAAATAGTAGTTTTTATCAAGGCTCCCAAAATATGCGTTTGTTTCAATGATGACCTCTTCATTCGACCCAAATTTCTTACCACCCAGCCATTTTTTCAGGTTTGGAAATAGGAAGTACTCACTGGGAGCTACATCTGGAGAATAGGCTGGATCGGGCAGCAGTTCGTAGCCCAGTTCATGAATTTTTGCCATCGAGACTACACACGTGTGTACCCGTGCGTTGTCTTGATGGAACCCCATTTTTTTTTCGCCAAATGCGGTCGTTTTTGCTTCAAAGCAACGTTGAATCTGTCTAACAGCTCTGAATAGAACTCTCCCGGATCGTTCTGACCTTCTCAAGGTAATCGATCTAAATGATACCGCATGCGTCCCAGAAAACTGTGGCCATAGCTTTGCTGGCTGACAGACCCACCTTGGCCTTCTTTGGAGCACGGTCACCATGTGAACCCCACTGTCTTGGTTGTTCTTTGGCTTTTGGTGTATTGTGATGAATCCATGTTTCATCTACAGTTACAAAACGGCCCAAAAATTCGTTCGGATTGCGGCTGAATATCGCCAAACATTCGCTTGAAATGGTCACACGGTTGCGCTTATGGTCGACTGTGAGCAATCGCGGCACCCATCTCGCGGATAGTTTTTTCATGTCCAAGTATTCACGTAAAATCTGATATACCCGCTCAGTAGAGATGCCTACAGCCTCAGCTACTTCACGTATTTTTATTCTCCGATCTTTCAATATCATCCCATGGATCTTATCCACGATTTCTGGTGTGATGACCTCTTTTGGGCGACCTGAACGTTCGGCATCACTTGTGCTAGTTCGACCACAACGGAACTCGGTAAACCACTTCTTCACCATTGAAATAGATGGTGCAGAGTCCCCATAGTATTTGTCAAGCCTTTCCTTGGTTGCAGTGATGATTTTTTCACGCAAAAAATAATGTTTAATTAGAACACGAAATTCACTTTTCTCCATTTTTGTTTGTGTCTACTTTCAACGGCTGTCAAACTCAAATGAAATGACACAGCTTGTTCAAATTTTGAAAGTCGTCATATAAAAGACGGCAGTTGACGGCAGCAGTGCTGCATTCAAAGTTACTGCGCGGGAAATTCAAAAAGTCACTCACTTATCAAACGGCGTAATTGAATAGTGGACGGTAAAGTAACTTTCGCTGGGCATAAAGGAGTTCGTGAAGTGAAAATTAGGACATAACGACCGTAAAAACTATGTTTGTGTTACACCCTTACGCTCGGTCGTAGATAAAAACGTTTTTATGCTATGAATAGCGTTTCAAAAACTCCTTTGCCTATCCATTGTGATTTTAAACGACATAAGTATACTAAGTGACATATAAATCCGAACACCCAGTTTAAATGGTTTTATTTTAATAAAATTTTGTATAAGTACTTAATGAAGCATAATAAGTAAATGATAAAAATTTCAAAATGATTGCACTGCTTTAAAGCCCTCTGACCTTTAATAATGTGTGGCTGCACCCTGATGTGCTACGCATTCTCCAACGCGCCTAGGCATGCTTCTGATCAGGTGGTCAATGTCCTCCTGTGGTATCTCATTCCAGGCAACCACCAACTCATCTCGAAGTGCTTCTAGAGTCTGAGGAGGACGTTGTAAATTGAGCAATCTCCTACCCCACACGTGCTCAATTGGGGATAAGTCGGGAGATCTTGGTGGCCATGGTAACAATGTGACATCATTATGTTGAAAGAAGTCTATTGTGACTCTTGCAACAAGTGGTCGGGCATTATCTTGTTGGAAAGTTGGATCTGGCAGGGTGTCAAGATAGGGTAAAAGATGGGGTTCTAGAACTTCGTGGATATAACGCTGCGCGTGCATGTTACCTCTGATGAAGATTAAAGGTGACCTGGAACCGTAAGCTATAGCACCCCAAACCATAACTCCAACAGTGTGATGAACATGTCTTTCAACAAAAAACTGTGGATTCCTCCTTTCACCACGTCGCCTTCTAACCCTGGTACGACCATCGTGCAGGCCTAAACAAAATCGAGACTCGTCACTAAAGACAATACTGTTCCATTCCTGATCCCAGAGTGACCGTTGTCTGCACCACTCAAGGCGATTACGTCGGTGTTCTCGAGTTAAAGGGAGGACCCAGTGTGGCCGGTATGAAAACAAGCCAAAACTTCTCATTCGTCGGTAAACACTTCGCATGCCAATAGATCTTCCGTGTTCTGCAAACCATTCATATGCAATGGACCTGGTAGTGGAGAAACGGTCCCTTAAGGCCAATAATCTTAGGCGGCGATCTTCACGGTCTGTTGTTGTACGGCGGCGTCCAGTGCCCCTTGCTCTTTGCGTACGGCCTTCTCGAAGCCATGCCTGACAACACCTAACCACAATGTCTACACTTCTTTGCACTCTAACTGCAATTGCCCGAAAAGATAGTCCAGCTTCCCGAAGTCCCACTATACGGCCCCTATCAAACTCACTAAGTTCACGAAATCGTACAGGTCTCCGTACTCTAGGCATCGT